CAAAGTTGGATCGCGTCGAACAGACGCTTGCCCGACATGATTGATAAAGTAGCAGAGAAACCCGGGCTGGCCTCCAAACTACCGTCTTCGCATAATGATGGAAATTGAAGCAATTGGGGGAGCGCGAGAGCAAACCGGATAGCATCTCGTGCCTCGAAAAGCCGCGGTGGTTTTCTGCCGGGCGGTACCGCGCCCCGGAGAGGTCCGGAGGCAACTGATAAGGAAGACAGCCGACCGGATAAAACTAAGAATAGTATTTAAAGGCGAATGTTCCTCCCGCGGGTCTCCCTTTCTTCATCACCGCCATGTACCGGCCGCCTTAACTTGTTTGGTGAGGGCAAATGACAGTGAAGACCAACGTGCAGGATATCGAGCAAGAGATCGTGGATCTCGAGGACCGTCTGCGCAATGCACGTGCTCGTCTAGCGTCGGCCTCTGCGTCGCACAAGGGCGGGGGTTCATATCTACCGGTACCGGAGGGTGTGTTTGCCCCCGCGGATGTCTTCCCCGTATACTTCTTCTTTCGCAACTGCAACTTCCACCACCTATCTACAAGATACTAACCGTCCATTCCTACGCTCCAGATGCTACGGGAATAGTGCCCAGCCATGCACTGCTTCTCCTCTCGGATTCAGCCCTTCCGTTGGGCTCGTTCGCCTACTCCAGCGGTCTCGAGTCCTATCTGGCGCACAACAAGCCCCTTCCTCGCTCGGTGACCCCAATTGCATCCTTCCAACGCTTCCTGAAGCTCTCGATCGCTTCTATGGCAAGTACCTCACTTCCATACGTTCTGGCAGGATACAGACGCCCAGAAGACTTGGAGACCCTGGACAATGACCTTGATGCGTCTACCCCCTGCATAGTTGCCCAGCGGGCGAGTCTCGCCCAAGGGCGGGCATTGCTCGGGGTCTGGGAACGCGCTTTCCGGAAAACGTATGCGTTCAACCCATTCCACGCTAACCCCAACGCTGCTGAGGCAGTGAAGGTGGTAGAGGAATTCTCCGACATACTGAAGACCTCGCTGGGTACTGACGAACTAGGCCCCAAAGGTCACTTTGCGCCTTTGTGGGGGGTGGTATGTCTGGCCATGGGCATGGACGCCCACCAGACTGCTTATGTCTTTATGTTGAACCATGCCAAGGCAGTCCTTAGCGCTGCTGTCCGTGCGTCCGTCATGGGCCCTTATCAGGCCCAGAACATCTTGGCCAGCAAAGGCCTGCAAAGCATGATCACTCAACGTATAGAGCGGGAGTGGGATACTCCCGTCGAAGATGCAGGGCAAATCGTCCCACCTCTTGATCTCTGGGTGGGACGACATGAACTTCTATATAGCAGAATCTTCAACTCATAATGCATAGATCACCACGATAGCTCTCTTGATTCCTTTCTTTTTAGTCAAAGGTGACATTCCTGTATGAATATAGCTGCATTCATCATCTTTCTCTCTGCCGTGACTTCCTAGTTAATCCTACAACATGCACCGTATTGTCCCACCCAGGTGCCGCTCGAACACTGACGTGGGTATCCAAAAACAACTCCTCTGGACCGGAGGGTAATGAAAAGAGAAGGGGAAATAAAAGAAAAGAAAAGAAAAGGAATAAAAGGCAGCAAAGAGAAACGAAGAGAAAGAGAAAATTAAAAGGAAACAAAAAGAAAAACCGGTAACCCGAAGACCAAACAACCCGGCCACTATGCAAAGAAAATATCCGATCAATAGGAACAGATTTAGATCGAACGCCGGCCCTCTGATATCCTGTCCTGCTAAACCACAGTAAAACACCGCACCATGAGCCTTTTTCCATGATTATGGAGCGCAATGGGTAAAAGAAAAATCAAGCCGTAATAAAGTGACGTAGGTGAGTGAAAGGGGGAAGGCGAGAAAGGCAAGAAGGAAAAGAAGAGACTATGATACACGAAGTTGAGGGTAGGAACCCAGGATGCTGGGTTCTGAGCAAATCACAGTGTGATATGCATGTAATCGTTGTTACCGAAGGACTTGTTGCAGTTGGGACACTTTCGAGACCGAGATGTGAGGCGCTCTTCCACGCATTCTTTACAGAACACGTGACCACATGTCTTGATGGCCGTGTTCTTGAAGTTGCGGCGACACACAGTGCAGAGTGCCAGAGTCTGTAGGGCACGTTAGCGAGGATGATCCAATATGGCAAAAAAACAAATAATAGAGATGGGATATAACCGTACCCTCAGCATTTCATATTCGGACGAGGAGTTCCCGAGGCTCTTGTTCTTCCAGTTCTCCAGGCTCTTCTTGGTATCCGCCAGGGTCACCTTCAGACCTTCCACCTCCGTTTCCGCTTGGCGACAAGCACTCGAGGCGCTAGCCAATGTCGAGTCCTTGGAAGCTGACAACGCCTTGAGTTCGGCCACCTGCCGGTTCAAGCCCTCAATTGTGATGTTTTTCTCTGTGACTTGCTGCTGGGCTGCGTAATTCTTGTTCATCATCGAATTGAGTGCTTCCTTAGTCTCGCTAACCTGCTTTTCCATGTTGGCCAGCAGAGAACGGGTGGCTGCCTCAGATTCCTTCAGCTGCGACACAATGTCCGAAGTTTTCGCATTTTGCATGCGTAGGGTGCGGACCTCCACATCCCTGGCCTCTTTGCTCTTCATTGCAGCGAAATATTTCTGATCGGCCTTGGACTTCTCCGCAATGAGCCGGGCAACCTTCTCCTCCAAGACACTGAAATCGGTAACTTTCTGTGATGCCAATGACGAGTACTTCTTGCAGGCGACTTGCATCGAGGATAGTTCGGTATTGAGCATCGAAAACTGACGTTCCAGGTTGCTGAACTTAGCACGCAATTCTTCGATCGGGATCTCATCAACGCTTTTTGATGTGCTCTTCTCCTTATCTAATTCCATACGCAACCTTTGTACCTCGGACTCTAGCGCCGTAATCCGAGCCTGTCCAGCATCTGCAAGTTCTTGCACCTTTGTAGCCGCAGTTTTCTCCTGCTCTTGCGCAGCCTTCCGCATTTGCTGGTCCGCCAAAAGTTCGTCGCGCGCGTTGCGTATCCGTGCCAGATCTGTTTCTGCCCGCATTAATTGCATCTCCTTCTCGGCGATCGCATTTTGTGCCTCTTCATCAACCTGATTGCGGTAGGCGGTTCGCTCCGATCGGAATTTTGCCGCTTCTTCTCGCAGTTGCACGTTGGTCGCTTCTAAGTGGTTGATCCGAGTAACAACGTCATCGTACTGGGATTTCAATTGCTTGAACAAGTCCGTGTGCGCGTAGTCATCGTCAGTAAGTCGTGAATGCTGCCGTCTCACGTTAGCACTGTTCGAGTCTAGCTGGTCCAACCGGGTGGGCGTACCTTGATGTTGAGATCCGTTATTTGAGTCAGTAGTTTGGCATTTTCACTCTCCAATTTCTGAAGCTGTTCTTTCTGCTTTTCAGACACGGCCACGAGTTTGCTGTGGGCTTCTTCCAGGGCAGGACTCCGCTCGCCGCTAGGGGTCGCGCCGTTGGACGCGGAAGGCTCTTCCTTGGGTGCAGACGCACTATCGCCGCCGGGGCGTTGGGCTCCTAGAATGTACTGCTTCTCTAATTTGGCAACCGTCAAGCTCCTTGCACGATCGAGCTTTTTCTCGGCTACCATGTACCGCAAAGAGGCTTCTTCGAGACTTTCTTCGAGTTGCTGTTTTTCAGATAGAGCTTTCTCTAATTCTGCGATGGTGGCTTTTTCCTCAGCAAGCTTCTTGGCGAGTTGAGTCTGTAACTCTGAAGCCTCGGGTGAGGTCCTGGGGGATTTGGACAGTAAGCTAGAGATGACGTGGCGGATATCCTCCGAACGGGACTTTAAGTGCTTCTCGAATTTGTCGACATCATCGAACAGCAGGCTGCTTTGGAAAGCCGGGCGTTCTGGGATTTTGTTTAGCGTTTCCATGTAAACCAAAAGCCGGCATGAGTGGGACCCACCCTTGGCATCCTCTTCGGCAGCGCCCATGAGCAATTTGACCTCGTCGACCAACTGTCGACTCGTCAGACAATCTGCACCGGATGAGCAAAATACAACGATCTACTCACTTGCTTATACCAGGTATCTATGATACGGAGATGGTCATTGTGGTAGGCGGTGGCTTTGGACATCTCCTTCAGCTTGGCCTCGAGCGACACCTTCTCACGTTTGTACTCCTGCATCTGGCGCCATATTGCGTCTTTTTGGAAACGCTGCGACGAAAAGACGTCAGTATGTCACCTGGAGGGTAGCGGTAGACTCGACTATGGCGTTCCATTCCTGTCTAGGGGAACCCTTGGGATAAGTTGGCACCCACGTGGGCAGATCGGGGACTTACCTCCAGGTCATCTTTCCAGGGCATATCAGCGTCGGGATGGGGTTTGCTACCACCATTGACCGAAGTCGCTTGCTTTTTCAACGGTGGAGCAGAATCATTATGGTCGTAGGCAGCGGCTCTCTTCCGGTCTTCCATCATGACAAAACCGGAATCGGAAGATGCGACGGGGGATGCTTCGGCGGCCGGCATCAGTGGCTAAAGAGGCATACGTCAGAAGAGGCCGTCACCACTGAGCAGCAACGGGCCGAAAGCAGGGACCGTAACAATCTCCGACCGTGAAAGACGTGACGGTGGGTGGTTGTTGTGGAAGAAAAGGCGGGTGGAAGGGGGGAAGCGAGGAAGAGGTGGAAGAGGGGGATGGCGAGGGAATGAGTTGAGATAAGCAAAGACTCCCAGGCAGAGAGAAGCCAGGAGGATTTTCGGCCTGCCAGTTTAGCGTCCCTTCGCGCCTCCCACGTGACCGCGCCCACTTTCCCCAGGAGTTCAGGTTCAGGTTCAGCTCTTTCCGCCCGCCAATCTAGACTTTTTGCTGGTTTATTACTCTCTCTCGGTCCCTTCTTCTACCTACTACCACCACCACCAACTAAACCACCATCACTTCATCATTATTGTTCCCCCCCTACTATCTCTCCTTGCTCATTTCATCCCTTCCTTACCTTTCGCTTCAGCGATGACCAGCATGCAGAATGAAGTCCTTTTCCAGTTCGGCCATTAGTACGTTCCTTTGTCCCCTCTTCCCGTGTCCCGTCCCGCCTTCTATACATTCAACTGCTAATCATGCCTCCTCTACAGATAAGTCGGGCAAGAAGTTTGCCCCCAAGGCGCCCGCTCGCCGTCCTCCAGCCTCCGCTCCCCCCAGAAGACCTAGTGTAGCCTCCCAGCCATCTGCCTCTCAGACTCCCCAACCGCCGACAGAGACAGCAACTCCCGAACCCGGTCCACACGCCCCCGCTGTTCAGGCCTCCGTTCCTACTGCACCTTCAATCCCGGAGGAGCCAGCAGTCTCTCCTAAGGAGAATGTCGTCGTACCTCAGTCTGCGACAGCCATTCCAATCCCCCGTCCCAAGCGCAAGGCTTCGGTGTCTGCAGTCTCCCCGGGAACCATAGAACAGATCTCAACCTTTCCTCATCCTACCCCGCCTACACCTACCGCGCCAGAACCCCAAGTTGAGCAGACACAGGCGACTGTGAGCGATACTGCGGCTGCTGTTCCCGAGACACAGATATCCCGCCCCGATAATGACGCGACAGTGATTCGTCCATCCAAACGTCCCAAGACCACCGGAGAATCCATCGCCATCACCACCGATGCTGTCTCCACCGTTTCCGCTCCTTCTGCTGCTGCTGCTCCTCATCCTGCTACGACTACGCGCACCACCGAATCAATTGCGATAGACGCCAACCCCCAACTTGTTACTCCTCCAGCAACGCAGGCGGCACTCACTGATAGCGAAGGGACAACAGATGCGCGCCCTAGAACTGACTCGCAGGTTACTGTTGCCGAACAAGGTCGAAAGCCAACGAGGACTAGACGGAAATCAGTGAAGGATGTCAATGGGGAAAATGCGACAAAGAAGAAGGAAAGAAAGCCTCGAACACGCAAGAAGCGCGAGCCAACCCCCGAAGGCGCCGAATCTGTCGAGATCGCCCCCGCAATGGTCAAGATGTCGGAGCTGTGCAAGGATTTGCGCACGGGTAAAATGTCCAAGCGTGAGACTGAGCTGCGCAACATGGAACAGGCTGAGCAGGAGCGTAAGCAAAAAGCCCAGCAGGAAGGCGATACTGAGGCACCGGTGAAACAGAATGTGAACGACGCGTCTCCCGCGGGCGACCAGGATGAGAACCCAGACAACAAGGCCCAAGCTGGACCAGTGATGAGGATTGTTAACGGAGAGATTGTGCTCGACACTGCTTCATTGCAGGTGGATCGCCATGCCGACGCCGCGAGGAACGCTGGGGACCTCGAGGATGTTATCGAAAACTCGTTTACTCGAAAAATCAACCAGGCAACATATGGAAAACGATCCAAGACCGAATCCTGGGACGAGGAGATGACCGATCTTTTTTATCGGGGCTTGCGCATGTTTGGTACGGATTTCATGATGATCAGCAAGTTGTTCCCGGGCCGTTCCCGGCGCCAGATCAAGCTCAAGTTCAACAACGAAGAACGTCGTGACCCCCAGCGGATTAAAGAAACACTGTTGGGCCCGCGGGAGACCATTGACATCAGTACCTACTCGGAGATGACCAACACTGTCTATGATGACCCCAGGTTGATTCAACAAGAGTTGGACGAGGAGCGGAAGCGGATTGAGGCTCAGCACGCTAAAGAGAAGGAAGCGCAGGAAGAGATGCTTCGTAATCCTGACGGTGCGGCTGGTGGTGCCGACGGCACTCCAGCCAACGACATGCCTGTCAAAGCGAAGCGGAACAACAGGAAACAAGCCATGAAGGCCATGGCCGGTGGCACGGAAGAAGTTTTGGGCACCATTGATGATATACCTTGAGTACACAGGATCGATAAATTTATTTTAACGGCCGATTTCAATACCATGCGGGGATACAGGTGTTTTTGGCGTTGCAGACCAGACCAGTTATACTGCCTGGCGCAGGAGTTTACTTGGGTTTCTGTTCGTCTTTCTTTTGCCCCCCGGTGATGATGAATGTCTGTTTGTTTACTCTATTTGCTTACTACACCGTGGTCGGCTGAAGTAGTGGTAATTATCCGACGATTTGGTCCGTGTATCTTAGTGGTCGGCCATTACAACGAGAATATCAAAAGAATCAAAGGCTTATAGCTAGCACACTCTGCTCCTTGTAGCTATTACCTGCGGCGTGTTGAGCCAAACCCGGTACTTGAAGTGCTGCTGGAGAATTGCGGGGTGCGCGATCCTGAGCTACCCTCCCCAGGGTCATCATATCTTCTGGACGAGGAAGGCCGGGTCCAAGTAGATGACGAACTAGACCGATTCCCAGCGCTTCTTCTTCCCAGCGCATAACCAGCCGCCCCACCACTCATGGCACCCGTCCAAAACCCAGGTCTCCAACGCTCGCTAGGGTCTGAAGAAGGAGTATAAGGAGGCGGCGAGGCTGAGTACGGAGGCGGAGGCCCATCATCCCCATAACCACCACCTCCTCCTCCCCCACCACCACCATGGCGTCGTCGCTGTGGCCGATTCGCCCCCGACCCACAGCACTCGTTGATGAATGCCGCCAAAATGAACACAAAAACCGCAATCATAAACCCAAAGAAGATCACTTTGCCTACGGGGCCAAGCTCATCATTCGAAGAGCTCGATCTCTCATTGCGCAGGTGTCCAAACTTCTCCTCTCCCGCTTCCGTCAACAGTAGGCGATACTGGACTCCGCAGCTCCCTTTCAATACCCACTTGTCGTCGGCATTCCGGTAACCTTCACAGATTACGTCTGTAGCTCCGAGCTTGAATTCCTGTGGGAGCGACGCAGTGCAGGTCCATTGGACGTCTTCTTCGTCGTAGTCGTAGCCTTCGTTTGTGCATCGCATCGTGTCGATCTCGTACATATTGCAGATGCGCTTGGATGGGCCGGTGCATTTTAGCTGCGGGATTGGAGATACTCGTCTGGAGGTGGTGAGACGGTTTCCGCGGAGAGTGAGTGACCGGACGCGCGAGAGGAGGATGGCGTCTTTGCCTGGCGGTCGGTCGGAGAGAGCGGCATATGGGAAGAGGAGGAGGGAGAGGAGGAGCTGTCGGATGAGTAGATTGTACATTGTGGGAGGGTTTTTGTAAATGGGTAGCTTTGGCGTGTGTGTGTCAGTGGAGAGTGAGCATGAGCATGCTGCCGACGATGGATGCGGCGTCTAGATAGAATGGCACACAAGCAATGGTAAGGCGACGTGGTATCAGTACAATATGTTGGTTTGTGAGCTGGATCGGATTTCCCTCAGTAGTTAGTTCCAGATCAAATATGGGATTCTGGAACGTGCAAGTATTCAATGTGTCCTCCCCAGACAACCAGCTTGAGGGGCGGTTCTTGCATCCGATCTGGATTGTGTTGGACCCGCGGTGGAGGAGGGATCGATCACCGCTTAGCGTCACCGCAGCGGAAACCTCGACCTTCGCCATTTTCCGGTTCTTTCGTCATTTCTCCAAGACACCCTCATTCAGCCCCTTCTATATAATCCCGCGGCTGTGGTGGTCATGGGCGATGGGCAGAAGTTGAGGTCTACAGTGGCGGACAATGTCTTTCCAACAAAGTGCGATCGAATCATTCTCCCTCTCTGCTAAGGACTGCCTGAAGCTAACTGACGAACCAGGTGAAACGGTGCCCGTTCCGGCTCAATCCTCGTATGTCACTAATGGCCTGATCCCCCTTGGTTGTTCCCATAGAGGGCTAACGAACTAGTCTAGCTTATCTTTCACGCAGGGGTTTTTGCTTGGGCAGCTGTCCGTGGTGCTGTTGATCGGAGCCTTCATCAAGTTCTTCATTTTCGGCGAAGCTCCTCCGCCGCCCTCCCGCGGCCTTTCACATCGAGCCTCTACCCATCGGCGTTCCAATTCCATCTATACAATCAACCCTAACGAGGCCAATAACCGGTCATTGAGGGAGAAGCCGTCGAACTCGAATGTTCTCCGTCCGGTGCCTTCCTCCTCGACGAATACCCGCTCTATCCTCCGCAAAACCTACTACAGCGCCATTCCTACAAATCCCTCGAAACATGGCCGGCATAAGATTCATCATTCGTCACATCAGCCAGAGTCTCTCGACTGGTTCAATGTGTTGATTGCCCAGACTATTGCTCAATACAGACAAACAGCGTACTCGTTGAAGGACTCTCCGACGTCGTCGATCCTCAGCTCGCTCAATGCGGCCCTCAACAACCCCGAGAAAAAGCCCTCTTTCATTGACAAAATCAACGTCACGGATATCTCGCTTGGTGAAGAATTTCCCATTTTCAGCAATTGCCGTATCATTGCTGTCGATGACCCCAATTCCGATGGCGGGAGACTCCAGGCCTTGATGGACGTCGACTTGAGCGACGACAACTTGTCGATCGCCATCGAAACTTCCTTGCTGCTTAACTATCCTAAGCCATGCTCCGCGATTCTTCCTGTGGCGCTTTCGGTTTCTGTTGTCCGGTTTTCGGGCACATTATGTATCTCTCTTGTTCCCGCATCCACCCCTCCCCTCCACACTCCCTCTCCATCCCCATCCCCTCCCACCGCTGATGGGAACTCGCGCGGCAAGGCAACCGCAGACTCCAACGCACAAGCAGCTGACGATGAAGCTGATGGACTCCCACCAAAGTCAAGCCCGAAGAGCAATGTTGCCTTCTCCTTCCTTCCTGATTACCGGCTGGATCTCTCCGTTCGATCCCTCATCGGCTCCCGGAGCAGGCTCCAAGACGTGCCTAAGGTGGCTCAGCTAGTCGAAGCTCGTGTGCACGCGTGGTTTGAGGAGCGAGTGGTTGAGCCCCGAGTACAAGTAGTCGGGCTGCCTGATCTGTGGCCCCGCATGGGACGGACAGGCGTCCGTACCGGTGATGACTCGGAAACCGGCTCAAATGCGGCATCTCGGAGTGCCATGTCGGCTGATCTTGGAGATCATCATCTGGGGGATCGGGAACCCGAGGGCCTACGGTTCCGGGGTGGACTTGCCTCACGGCCTCAATTCGACAGCGTCTCGCGAACGAGCAGCTACAACGTCGAGACAGGGGACCTGCGCAGTCCCAGCTTAGTCCGAGAGGAGAGTTCAGGAGCGCTTAGCGAACAATTTCAGATGCCTGGCTCTTTGTCCGGCGCGGCTGCTCGCTGAGCAAGCTACCTTTCCTTGGTTACGTGTACCATAGATGAGTACGAGTTTTGAAGAAAAAGTATCCGACCTACATAACGAACGGAGTTAGGTAAATAGGGGAATTGAACATCACCATGCGCACAATACAAACACAAAGTCTATCCACGAACAGGTAATAAATGTCATAAAATTTCATTGCCATGGTATATAACATAGTCGTCACATTAAGCTTTACATTGCCACCCTTGAAATCATTTTAAACAGCAGCAACAGCAGCCTTACCCAGACTACCGAGGTACGACACACGGTGCGGGTTCTCATCGAGATCGTTGCTGCGGTTCAAGGGAGTCCACTTGGGTTCCTCCTGGAAGAGACGCATAGCCTTGACGTACTAAACCCAGACAGTCCCGTTAGCACCCATTCCACTCCACAGCTACACAATGGCAAACTTACGTTCTTCTCATCCGTCGTAAAGCGATGGTAGATACCCGCGGGGAGAATGATCAAATCGTCCTTCACCAACTTGATGCGCACCCACTCGTCCTCCTTGCCACGGACGTCAAAGTATCCCTCACCGTCCCGGATGTAGCGGATTTCCTCGTCCTCGTGGAGATGCTCGTGGAAGAACATCTTCACCTTCTCCTCGTACACATCGCCCATGGTCTTGGGGGACACGGTGACCTCATCGCGGTTCTTGTATCCGCGCTCGGCGGCCAGGGCATCGACGTCCTCGATTTTCGGGCAGTACTTGTAGAAAACACCCAGGGAGGCGAGGTAGGCTTCATCGACGGGACGACCGTCGTCGTGGGGTTCGCGCTGGTCGCCCTGATAATCATGAAATGTCAGTCGGTGCCATAGAGGTAACCAATGGAGGGGTAAGTGACGAAACCATGCGCGGTGGAGAGGGGTGCAAGGCGGGATATATAGACAGGACGAACTCACCGGCTTGTTATCGTACCAGTAAGCCTTCATTTTGAACAGATTCTAATAGATACAAAATGCACACGAAATCCACACAAGTTCGACAAAAACAAGAACGAACAACCAGGAACGAGGATCAACGGCGAATATAAGTCCACCCCAAAGCCAATAAAGCCCGCCGCGGGGCGCCGTGAAATAAGCCCCACGTGTGATTGGCTGTAATGCAAAACTTCGGCTCATTTCGTCATTACGTCAGCAAAGCACATCACCTCACCGCCTTTCGGAGTTTGTTTCGGATTTAAGCTTTTTGGCCTTGGCTTGTCGCGCACGTGATGCGGATATGAGTTCTTTTTTCCGGGGCAAAAAAAGGTTAATTAATCTATGGGATTAGTTTAGTAGTGAGTGAGATTCCGGTTGCGGAAGCATCAAGTTTTTTAGCTTCTCCCCTTTCCACCCCCCCCATCCCTTGACGCTCTAGGCCGTTCGTTCGCAATGGCTTTTCGGGCTCGCTCCGTTGCCCTTCTTCGTTGGGGGTTGGAGCCGAGATCATCACAGTTGAATGTGTTGGGTAGGAGACGTGGGTTGGCGACGGTGTCGGATGGGACGCGGTATGCTTTCTCTTCATCCCATACTGGGGTGTATGCAGTGGTTTGATGCTAATCTTGGCTGGCTTGTTTACAGAGCATACGATGTGGTGGTCATTGGAGGAGGTCATGCAGGCTCCGAAGCCTGTGCCGCGGCTGCTCGTTCAGGCGCCCGAACCGCATTAATCACGCCCTCGCTATCCAATATCGGTGTTTGTTCGTGTAATCCGAGTTTCGGTGGAATCGGAAAGGGTACTATGATCCGGGAAGTTGATGCGATGGATGGTGTCGCGGGACGAATCATCGACAAGGCCGGTATCATGTTTCGCACGCTGAACCGATCCAAGGGCCCGGCGGTTTGGGGTCCCCGTGCACAGATCGATCGCGATTTATATAAGAAGTACATGCAGGAGGAGCTGCAGGGAACGGAAGGATTGAGTATTGTGGAGGGTAAGGTTGCGGATATTGTGGTGTCGAAGGATGGGGTCGAGCATACTCCTGGGGCGCAGGGCAAGATTGTTGGTGTTAGGCTGGAGTCTGGCGAGGTTATACCGACTGGCAAGGTGGTCATTACGACGGGTACGTTTTTGGGTGGAGAGATTCATATTGGGCTTGAAGCGTACCCGTCTGGTCGGATGGGCGAGGCTGCTACGTTTGGACTTAGCAAGTCTTTGCGGGATGCTGGGTTCACGCTGGGTCGTTTGAAGACGGGGACACCTCCGCGGTTGGATAGGAAGACGATCAACTTTGCGCCGTTGGAAGTCCAGGAGGGTGACCACCCCCCGAGTCCGTTCTCGTATCTCAATGGCAGGGTTCAGGTCGACGACGAGGCTCAGCTTACTTGCTGGATGACCTACACTAATGACGACGTTCACGATATTGTCCGGGCGAACCTGGACAAGACCATTCACATCCGCGAGACTGTTAGGGGACCCAGATATTGTCCTTCGCTCGAGTCCAAGATCATCCGCTTCACCGATAAGAAGCGCCATCTGATCTGGCTCGAGCCAGAGGGTTTCGCGCCAAACGACGTCATTTACCCCAATGGTATCTCCATGACTATTCCTGCCGACGCCCAGTACGCCATGCTGCGAAAGGTTCACGGTCTCGAGAACGTAACCATGCTTCAACCCGGATACGGAGTCGAGTACGACTACATTGACCCGCGCAATCTCCGCCCCACGCTCGAAACGAAACTTATCAGCGGTCTCTATCTCGCTGGTCAGATCAACGGTACCACCGGCTACGAAGAAGCCGCCGGACAGGGTATCATCGCCGGTACTAACGCAGGATTATCCGCCCAAGGTCGGGAACCGCTCACTCTTCGCCGGTCCGACGCATTCATTGGCATAATGATCGACGACCTCATCACGAAGGGCGTCTCTGAGCCCTACCGCATGTTCACGACACGAAGCGAATACCGCATCACCACTCGCTCCGACAACGCCGACCTCCGTCTCACCCGAATGGCCCGCGAGGCCGGAATCGTCTCCGACAAGCGCTGGCGCCACTTCACGGAAACAGAAGCACAGATTAACGAGCTCCAAACCCTCCTCGAGAACACCAAGATGTCCTCCTACGCCTGGGCGCGCAAGGGCTTCAAAGCCCGCATCGATCCCTCTCAACGCTCCGCCCTCGACCTCTTGTGTCTCAGCGAAAGCGACATCGACTCTCTCATCCCGCACATCGAATCCCCCACCGGCACCGTCTACTCCGCCTCTTCCTTCCCCCCGGAGATCCGCAACCGCGTCTCCATCGAAGGCCGTTACGCCCCCTTCGTGATCCGCCAGGAAAACGCAGCCAAGAAATCCCTCCGCGACGAGAACTTGTCTATCCCCGCTGATCTGGACTATGCTACCGTGAAAGGCATCAGCATCGAGGAAAAGCAGGCCCTGGAGCGCGTCCGTCCCGTCAGTATTGGCATGGCGAGACGCATCGAGGGCGTTACTCCATCCGGTGTCCTGAGGGTGCTTATGCACGTGCACAGGACCAGCCGGGATAGGACTGCTCCCGCATCGGAGGGACTTGAGGAGACCCCTGATGATGTTATCAGCCAGGCGCCTTAAAAGTGGTGCCATCATTGATGACGTGTTTATTGGGAAATGGTGTTGAACGACGACTATACTACATTATTGCATATCACAGCGACAGGCGAATCGAGTCGACTGGACTAGGCGAGGCGTATCGGTGTCATTTCGAGGGTTGTATTAAAATCGAAAGATGGTTTGGTTTAGAGGTCTCTTATGTATATTATTATCATTATACCTTTCATATTTTTCTTCTCGAGGCCTTTGTGTACTATAGTTTTTGCCTTAAGGGCCTCGGATACATGCATATACCAATTCATCTCTCTTCTTGTCTATCTGGTATGGAGTAGGCGACCGGTAGAATGATATGGTTGGTGGTGAGATTGGACATTCTAAACTTAGATTCAGACCTGTGGAGATTGAAACAAGTAGTATTCTGTACAATGTATACTGAAAAAAAAAAACTGATATGCAAATATCAATTAGTAGCTAACTTATATGGGCTTAGTAGCTAGACTAGAATTTTTCTTAACTATGTTTTACCTATCTATAACTGTTGGCAACTATTTACGACCGTTGATAACTTTCATAAACTATATCCAAATTTGGTACTACATTCACCACACACCCTTTGAGCCCTTATAATTGTTCTTAGTTATTGAAATGAAAGTGTGAGATACTGTTGTAGAGACGATGTCGTCAGTACGTTCAGTTTGGAGTCAAGTATTATTATCTTCGTAATATTTTACTCGGGACTGCAACCGGATATATATTATAATTTTCAGCGACACTAGCGACCGATGAAGTTAAACATCTAGTATCGGATCCCACAACTGATTATACAATGCAAAATCACTTGATAACAATGCTCAATTTATATATACATACATGCATACATACACCTTCACACAGACTTCTTCTATGATGCGACAACTATATGGGTTGGGGAGGTTAATCAAGGCTTCTTACCCGCCGCGGCGCGGGCAATGCGCTTCTGGACTTCTTCCTTGGAGAGGATTTTGACGGCGTCCCTGGAGAAGACGTAGCTCAGGCCGGACCAGAGGGTGGTTGCGGCGACAAGATACCTTTTATTACCGTTAGTGAATCTCATCGTAAGTTCTTTTCTGTAAGTATTTTCAAATGAATAGAAAAAATAGGGAGAAAAAATAAAAACATACAACAGAAGGGATTCGCTGGTGGTCACCCACCCAACTACTAACCTCCCGGCGTGTGGCTTAAGTACGGCTGAGCGGACGGGAAGCCCTGTTTTCCACACCCTGTGGTCGTATGTACCAGACATACACCAGAACGGGTTTACATAGGCCTCTTCCCGCTTTACGCGCACACACTTTTACAATAGTGACGGGGCAAGGGTAACAATGATGACTGGGGAATGAAATGGGCCACTCACTGGAATCCGGTCATTGCTTCCCTCAAGCTCCAAGCGTCGATGACCGTCTCGGGAAGTACAGGAAGCGCAATCGCACTACCCACTAGGAGCAGCTGCAGGGCCGTATTGATCTTGGACACCGTAGTGGGCTTCACTTCGGCCGAGGGGAGCGAGAAATCCCAGTACCGGGCCATGGTCTTGGGCGGTGGCAGGGATATCCATCGGTAGTAGATTGCGGAAATGGCTAGTCCGACATCCCGTCCCAGGATGATTACAGCGAGCCAGACTGGGTTTGTTAGCCAATTGAGCCGAAGGTTCGTCGTTGGTTTATGCCTTGGGGACACAACGTACCTGGGATGGACCCGTTCACGGCCAGGCAGGTGACTCCGATGGTCATGAGCAGCTTGTCAGCCATCGGGTCGATGATCGTTCCGACAACGGTTTGCAAATTCCATCGCCGTGCAATGTAGCCGTCCACGAGATCTGTGATACCGGCGTATGCGAACAGACCTAGTGCGGCTACGTGGTGGTCATGGACGAGAAAGTATCCTACCATAGGCGCCGCAAGTAGACGGGTGAACGTGAGAATGTTGGGGACGGTGTAGATATTTTCATGAGTCCGAGGCAGCTTGGCGAGAATTGGCGACTTCTTGAGGCTGTTTCGAGAGATATGACACGGTTAGGACTCGGGAGGGGCTGATAACAGAGCGCAGCCCTCGATAACCCTGAACGTATGACAGGCGTAATGGTGAGTGCTCACCTTGAAGAGTCTGGATCCGTTGGCTTTTGTGCAGAGTATCGCTTTTGTTGGCCAACACTTCGTACCAATTGCGAGTCTATAGCGCAAGAAAGGCTGGTCTTCTTTCGTAGTGTGCTGAACCTTGATTTAGCGATTTATCCCAATGGCCACATCCAGCTAATTCGTACTTTGCCTGAATCCTTGAGCGACTACCCAGAGTAATCGCCGAGAAGCTGCGTGCTTCTGTTACCGACATCTGCCATCCTCGCTGGGAGAGGGAAGTGTTCACCAGCGGGGTGGTGAATAGCCGAGCGCATTGCCTGGATGCACGTAAAGGCATTGGCAACATTGCAATCGCTGTCATGATGAAGCTGGTGAGTCGGTAGATGATGAAAGGATCCGGATGATGCTCGCGCGGTATCGCTCAGATATAGCGAGTATATTTGGTGAATAGTTCCCAACAGACAATGCTTTCCAGAAGCCCAGTAGGTGAAATAGAGCCAGTCGATGTAGTTCAATGGTGCAGAGTACTAGCAAACAACAAAAGTAGTCATGTCATAGAACAATATTAAACGTTCTGACCATTTGACCACGTGACGCAGGAGAAAAGTAGCCGAAAGGAAAGAAGGCGAGATCGTGGAAACGAAAGAACAAACCCTGCAACCAACACTCAATGGTGTCGCTTGTAACCAAGGATCCGAGGCTTCTCAAGACTGGAATGAACGAAGTATACTACTGTCTGAACGGCGAGATTATCCGGCTTCCGCGAGACTCCTGGGCACGTGAGTCTCGGGTCAGGCGGCGATCAATCCAACTGGCGGAGTAATGGCCATCCACGACGCCGGATGATGATGACTCGAGACAATGAAGCGCGAGAAGGACCGGACGTTCGACAGGAAGCGAAAGGGGGACGAGAAGGAGAGTATAGACCTCGGTCGAGACTCGCGATGGGAGAAAATGCCGACGGAGTTTTGGTTCCTCCGAGGTCATGTGACTCTATATATACATGGCAGACTAGAGTTGCTATGAGAGAAACAGTCCATGATAGCATGGTTGAATGGCAGTACTCATAATAGAGACATATATAGGGAGGTAGAAGTGGGTAAGTGCTTGTTGTATATGAGTCGCTCAACTCGCTCAGCTATTATCATACGAGGAATATTTCCGGGTAGGATTTGGCACATAAGTCGTTTCGATTTGAGATGATTAGATATAGGAAAAGACCCACACCATTGTCAGTGATGATACATATTCCCCACAGTTTTTACTGATACCGGGACCACACTAACAGGCTCGACCTAAATCTGGATAAATAGAACTGTTTGAGCACGAATTTCGCCCACTGCAATATTCAGCTTTGTCCATTGTTGTTCTGACCCCAAGAAATATTAGGCAGTATGTTGAACGCATGAAGGCTCATCCGCCGGTAGTTCGGATACAGGGGTTCCTTGAGTTTCCGCTGCCATACCTACCTTGTATGCATACCTAACAGGGCTGCCGAGTCTCTTGATTTCCTCTGAAGGATCCTGGGTTATTGGTCTAGAATCAGCCGATGGCTCTCTTTGCCTTCTTCCCCTGAGACACCAGTATGCCGCAGCTACTATCAGGCCGCAGCCAGCCACAGCTCCCGCAACCGGCCCAGCAATCCACGCTTTTGAGGAATGTATCTCTGGAGTTTGGCTAGGTGAAGGGGCAGCGGTTGTTGTGAAGGCAGCGGCTGTTGTAGAGGTCAAGGCAGTGGAAGTGGCGACAGCAGTCTTATTCTGGGTCTGCGTTGTAGTCACCGGTGATAGAAGCTTCTCAACACCCGCCGTAATTGATAAGTGGTGGTAAGTGATTTCTCCAGGTCCCAAGATTGTAGTACGCATTGTCTCCATGGACATAATGGTTGTAGGGTCAGAATACCAGGAGCTCATATAGGTCTCGCAGGATGCTCTTTGGGTTGAAGAAAAGATCCTGCAGGCCCTTGAATCGATACTAATGGTATACTTCTGGGGGTCTTGTTCGGTGCCGCTTGAGCTGTGTATGTATGTTGAAGGACCTATGGTTATCGTACGGGGGATTCTGTCGGCCTCCAAGTCGCATCTAGCCGGCGGGCTCTCGATACAGTTCATCACGATGGTAGTCTGGCCCTCCACGGTATTCACATCCACGATGCTCCCGGCAAGGGACCCGAAGATTTCGTCGTAAATTATCCCACTCCCCTCAAAAACTTGTACCTGTGCATCTGTGGCTGTTGTGACCACCGTTTTCATCGTTGTGGACGTGTACCATGTGTCTGACATTGCCAGTATAGGAACGGCGACTATGAGGACGGCGAATGCTAGAAACATGGCTGCCTTCACGTTCAGACAATAGCTTGCATACAGTTAGGTGTTTGAAGAGAGCCAGAATATGCAACTCGTAAACGGCAGATGCTCATAGATCGCACAAGCGTGGTGCAGCTCCTATGAAAACCCCCTGGACCAGAAACGAGGCGCCCGTCAAGGAATAGATGTCTGATTGTGTGCTATTTATGCCAATGTGTAAATGAATGGAATGAGTCAAAGAGAAAGAGGGGAAGAGACAAACTGTGAGGAGGCGACGGGGGCTGATGGACGAGGTTTCACGAACTGCCCCTGATGGTGCTTCTACCGCTAGATTCCCCACTTGAAGTTCATCTTTGTCACCTTGACTACCTGACGAGAGCTCATGATGCGCAATGATAGCTTAAAACCTGCATTGATTGCAGGATTTCGTAGAGTGAAAGACCCATCGTTCGCATCGATCTACTCGGCCAGGACAGGAATGGACGGTAAATGGCTGGCCCCTGTTGCAGTAAGCTGAGCTCGTATGAACCAAGTCTGGTGGGCCAGACTGTAGTAGTTATGTTATTCAGAGACATTAGAAGAATAGTAGGGTTCAAATGTTGCTAGTTCAGACCTTTCGGGACCAAGGCCAGGCTGTTGAACGTATGCGAAGACGAGAAGGGGAGAGGAGCGGGATCGGGATGTCACCCGCTAACTAGTCGAACTCCGTTGTTACCCTCACACCTCACCCTTTTCACCGAACAGCATGTATCTTGCAAACACACCAGGCTTCTTTACTAGAAGCCTCCATTCTAGAGCTCATTCTTGCCGAGCTTATCGCCAGATGCCAGTGTCTACATCGAACGACTTACCCCTGGTGTCACTGACTGGATCGTTCGATTTTCATGATGGCACCTTGTCTCACGCGAGTCGGGTCGATAGGAGTCTGTGTCACACTTCTCACAGTCTGCCTCGAGAAGCATCCGTAATGTGTCTATGCGGAGATTCACCGGAGGGTCACCATCCGGACGACTAATGAAACGATTGAAGTCCGCGAGCCGATACCCATCCTATAAAAGCAAGTCTCAGATAACCGAATCCGATAACAAGAGAGGCCTTTACAGAGTTAAAAAGATGAATCCAACTGAGCAATAGAATCTGCCGATGGCTTCGCTTGCTCAGTACAATTCATCGTTTGCTTGGGGCGCTCTTCAATTGGAATAAGAGTCTGCCTAGTGAAGTGAGGTCAATTCCTATATCCTGAGAGCTATACGAACCTTTTCGCTAACCATACGGTGGCTTTCATCACTTTAGAATGCTAATATATGAGTTCCAACTCTAGACTAGATCCGATCCTTTCGCATACAGAAGGTATCAGCCCGGCCGAACTTTGAAAGCCGTCAACCGCCTTCGCCTGCAACCGGAAAGTGACAAACTGCGAATTAGCCCCCTCTAATCGATCAATATTGTATCACACGCAAGCAAGTATTGGTTGTGGTCGGCCCCATGATACATGGCCGCTGTATTCATCGGGTTGAGGGCTATGAATGGGCGCCTAGGATACAAGGAGAGGCGGAGATATATGCTGGACTCTGGGCTATGCAAAAGGTTGTCGCATGCTGGTCACCACCGAAACAGATCTGGCTAGACAAATGCATAGCCCTGGCATTCACTCAAGAAGTTGACAACAATCAGACTTTCATTCAGTTGAAATATCCAACTGACTCAGTTACTGTATCACAAGGAGCTTTATATGCCGGAGTTGGGGCCAGTGCTTCTATGCCAGGTAATCCGCTAACAAATGACTCCTATTTCCGACAACCGATGATTGATATGACTCTAATATGCTTGATCTAGCTTGATATCATACCGTGTGCTGGCCCAGTCAAACCAAGCTGTAACCTATAGCCTACTTTGATATTACCGCTTCAATCAAAACCAACCTTCTCCTGATTCTTCTAGCCACATATACAAAGTATTCCCACTGTATAATTTACACGCTATGTATCCCAAAACAGCTCGCTACTTGCTGCTCCTATCAAAAGGCCATAAAACAAATCCCTATCAAGCTCCAATATCAACCTCCACGCCGCATCCCACCAAATATCACCAATAGCGAGCAGGTATATACATCTCAAACAGCACGTTACACAAAATACCCCCTCATCACAATATAAATCCCACTCGTCTCGTCTAGCAAGAGCGCATTGAGACTGATCACTCATCACCATGACACAAAACCACAAGCCCCTATATTCCAACAACCACAATAGCACAACAGAAGCCACAAGCCAAGCTACAACTCACACGCCGGTCTACAAAGCTGAAACCGTACTGTTAGAGAGATAGCAATGCCCAACGTTTTACATCAGTGCAGTCTATCAGTATAAACATTTTGTTCCATTTACCAGACCTCTGCGTAGGCTCTGGACCATTGCCTCTAATTACCACCACCAGCACTATCATTGACGTAGCAAACCCGCCACAGGCAAACCAGCACACGGCATACGGTATACCAACCAATGAAAGCAGAACACAAGTTATCGATAGCCTCGTTTCTCGTTTATTTCTTTTTATTCATCTTGATGTCCACCGCCATGTCCATGGCTACACTAGTAGGGTGCAATGATGGCTGAGACATCAGTCCTTACTATTGAATTGATTCGTATATGTCTTGGATGTTAAGGTATGGCTGTATCTGGGGTATCGTGTATACATACTCGCTTTGGAGATTGTCCGTCGATAGATCGAATTCGTAACTGAGGTACGCGTTTGTTTCAGATACTGAAGTCAGGTGGCTAGGATAATGGTAGTATGGTAGTTGGTTTCTGAGACAGATTGCGTCTTTGAAAAAGGAATAGTGGGCCTAGACTATAGTTCAGCTCGTAAGAGGCTTGGTTGTGTTCTAGCTGGGTATCTATGCGTTTTACTGATGAAACTATACTCTAGTTGAAGAGAGAGTGGACTGTATTGATGAACAAGAGAAAGTATCACGGTTGATAAAATATAGTGAAGTAAGTACTTTCACCTTACTACTACTAGTAGACCACGCAAGTACACTACTTCCTTCGATCAGTACTAACATACTACACATATACATAGACACCAGTAAATACCATCCAGCAAAGCCATCATACTCTTATACATCTACACAAGTAGTGCTAGTATAGACCATTCACACCTCCCCAGCTACACCACCAGGAAAAGAAATCCGACGCAACAAACGCAGAAGCTCGAAACTCTACTTCACCCATAGATCCCTCCCTCCGTCCCTCCCTTTCATCCAATCTATACACTACTAATGGCGCAGCGCAGCGCACTGCACCGCACCTTACATCCCCTCCCGCTTTCATCTCCCACCCTCAAACCCAGTATTACCAGTGACACAAAACACAAACACAAACCACCGCTCGTGTTGATACTCACACAACATGACCCATGTCCTAAAGGAGAAATCCCCCGATGATGTATCATTTATCCACTAATCCATCCATCCATTCATCCATCCATCCATCTCATTGAATCCGAATCCTTAAGATGGTACAGCATATTCCTTCCAGCAAGGGTATCCTATCCTATCCTTCCTTTCATTTCCCATCCTAGTCTATCTAATATCCATACGACAATCAAGCAAGGTACCCAACCCCATACATAGACAATAGTCCAGAACTCTACATCAATTAGCCTGTGGCAAAGCGAGCACGAGCGCGGCCTAGTACAGCACAGCGCAGTGCCGTACTCAGCCACATTCCTCATGCCTACCTGCCCAACATAGCAAAGCAGTACGTATACGTATGTCATCAGCCATCATGCCATGCCATGCCGACCCAGCCTCATATGTCTGTGCGGTAGAGACAAAAAGGGAAATGAGGGAAAGGGAAAGGGAAGAATGTCGACAAAGATCTCCTTCCTCCAAACTTTACTTGCCATGTGATTGACACAGCCATCAGACATACACATACAGATACAGATACACACGTTTCTTACATTCTACATTCTTGAGGGGGGAAATGGCAGATTCGTGGAAACTATGTATTTATGGTTACTACTTAGGTTAGGTTGATGGGAGGTATGTACATTCCTCGGGGAAGGGTCCCCGGCATCCTTTTCATCGGGGTGGCATGTAGTGTATTTTCGATTTACTTGGTACTAAGATTCGGTAGGTAGTTTAGTAGATAATGATATTACTAGTCTGGGTGGTGGGTGCTGGGAAAGTAAGATGGATACGGAATATGGATAGTTAGGGTATACGTAAGTTAGGACCGACTGAACATATAGTTAGTTAGCTAGTGTCAAGTTAAAGAATGGAAAGTGAAAGAAGAACCTTGCGTTTGCGTTTATTTTTCTGTCCTTTACCCATGGGGAAGGGAAGGGAAGAAAGAAAACGGCTCTACCGTGTCTCATCGCAATGTACTCCGTAGGTACGTAGGGTGATACGTACATAGTATGTAGGACGTGCATAGTACCAGACGATGCGATCTGATCTCATCTGCTGTGTATGTCTCTGAGGGTTATGTGTGGGTGGATGATGATGATGGATCGATCGGGGTTGGGTATCCACACAGGCAACGCAACCAGATCTACCCATCTATACCTAATCTACCTTGGCAGGTTAAGGCAAGGGTTGAAAGGCTCTTTGCAGTGTAGATCTAACCGAACCTATTACTACTATACCAAGTGAACCAACTGTCACTTCTTGATTCGTCAGCGTATATCTTGACCACCCAGTAACAATCCCAATTCCCCCAGGGTAAAGCAAAGTAAATGTAAGAGTCGAAGTTAGTAGATGATATGTCCGATCTCATTCCATCTTCCCTTCCCACCCCACACACACACGCACCCATTCTGTCTCTGTCTCGGGTCTGAAGAAACCGCCACCCTCAGAAAAAAAAAAAAAAAAAAAAAAAAAAAAGGAAAAGTAGAAAATGAAAATAATCCCGATCATATCCCGGCTGGGGTTTACTTACCGACTTTACCCCTTGCATTGCTTTTTCCTTTTCATGAGCCACGCTATCTGGTATCTTCACAGCGATAGTAAGAAAAAC